AAGTAAAGATTGGAGCTGTTATGGGATTAGGATTAGCTTATGCAGGTTCAGCAAGAGTAGAATTATAAGAGTAATTGATAAGTGTACTTATTGAGACAGCAGATAGTGTTGAATTAGCTGCTATGGCTGCATTATCTTTAGGTTTAATATTTGTTGGTAAATGTAATGATGAAGTTGCAAATGCTATTCTTTAAGCAATGATGGAAAGACCAGAATCATAATTGGATTTATCTATATCAAGATATTTTGCAGTTGGATTAGGATTACTTTATCTAGGTTAAGCAGAAGCAGCAGATATTGCAATTGAATCACTTGCATTAATTACTCACAAAATTAGTAAATATGCAAAAGTCACATTAACTTCACTTGCATATGCATCAACAGGAAATGTATTGAAAGTTCAAGAGCTTCTTGGATATTGTTCAGAAGTAACATCTGATGACAAGGGCACTAAGATAGATAAAAATTATGAACTTTAATAAGTAGCCATTTTAGGAATTGCATTAATAGCAAGTAGTGAAGATATTGGAAGTGAAATGGTCTATAGAATCTTTTAACATATATTGTAGTTTTCAGATGTTGAAGTCAAGAGAGCAATTCCTTTGGCTGTAGCTTTAATTAATGTATATATAATTTTATATTAATTATTTAGATATCGAATCCTAAGATATAGCCTATGGATCTTCTTCTTAAATTGGCTCATGATAGAGATTAAGAATTATCTTATAGAGCAACATTGTCAATGGGTTTATTGGGAGCAGGTACTAATAATTCAAGAATTGCTGATAAATTAAGAGGCTTGGCTGTTTACTTTATGAATGATTCTAATGGTTTATTCCTTGTAAGAATTGCTTAAGGATTATTACATATGGGTAAAGGACTTTTGACACTTCAACCATACTATTCTGATAAATTCTTAATGAATAAGGTAGCTATTGCTGGAATTATTTCATTTTTACATGGTTGTTTGGATATTAAGAATTTGATTTTGGAAAAAAATCATACATTACTCTATTATTTAGGTATTGCTATGTATCCAAGAATGTTCTTTACAGTAATTATTATCTTTTAATATATAGTTAAATGATAATCTTGAAAATCTACCTGTTTAGGTACGTGTAGGATAAGCTGTAGATGCAGTAGGATAAGCTGGTAAACCAAAAAGAATAACAGGATTTCAAACTCATACAAGTCCAGTTATTGTTAGTGCTGGAGAAAGGTAATATTAATTATATTATTCAATAGAGCTGAATTAGGCAATGATGAATATATGCCAGTTTAAGATATGATCTTAGAAAACTTTGTTATTTTAAAGAAGAATCCAGATTATAAACCAGAAATTGAATAACCATAGCGTAAAAAGACTAGTTTTAGCATGTGATTATATATAATAATATGCAAATATGTAACTTTTTAATTAATACTAAATAATCTTAAGATAGTAATTAGATTAAAAATAGTCATAAAAGATCATTATTTAGTTATTGAAACATTCTCAATTTAGTTTGTTGATTTCTTATTTTAGATATAACACCCATGATATTTCCTAATTTAACTTAATTAATTTTAATTGGTTCTTGTTTAAACAATTTTTCTCTTTTTAACATCATTTCTAATTTTGTAGAAATGACATTTTATTCTTTTTATTTTGTTAATTTTATTTTTGTGTTCGGTAATTATTATCTACCAGAATCAATAGATTATTAAGATATACTTCTTAATTTTGATATTTTCTACATTAATTCATCAATAGATTTCTTATGATATTGATGATCTTTTATTTTATTTTTAATTCCTGTCATTATGATAATATTTTTATCTATCTAATGTTTTGGTAATAATTCATTAAGTTATTCCAGAGAGCTAGAATCAATTGAAGCTTATTATTTTTAAAATAATTAAGCAACACTTTAATTATTTGAAATAATCAATTCTATTTTTATTAATTTATAAAATACTTTTCAAAATAATTTTATTAGGATTAGAAGAATTAATAATAGAATTTTGATGTGTTGAAGAATTATGTTTTAGAGTATTTCTTTCAGTAATAGATTTGATTCCTTAATTTGTTAATCGGATAATTTTTTATTTAGAATTCATATCACATACTATTGTATCAACTTTTTCAAGTGTTCTATCTCTATTAGAAGTTACACAAGGTTAGCTATTAATATGGTTTTTATGCATCATTCTTTAATCAAGAAATGCAATTATTTCTTCAACATTTCCAGGATCAGTACAATCTATTGATTTATCTTTGGTATTCATTTTGGTAATTTCTTATTATAGTTTCTTAATATTTATTGCAATTGCATGCAAATATAAAAAGTAATCTTATTAATTAGTATTTGATGTCATATATTCTAAATAATTCATTCTTTATAAGGCTCTTTAAGTCAATCCTAATTTCTTCATTGCCATTTAAGTTATTTCAGAATTGTAATCTATTTTATGATCCAAATATTATTTCATCTCTTGCATAGGGATTTTACTCATTTTTTATAAAATATAAAACTATAAGTAATCATTTTTAATTATATTATCAATTTCAATTATTTAGTTTATTCATTATTATCCTGCTCTTTCATCTTTTTAGTTTGCAAATAATAAAACTGTTAATTCTTCAATAGCTTTTTAATTTTGAACAATTACACATACTTTATTTATATTACATTTCAATTTCATATCTATAAGTGAATACAAATAAGATAATAATTTAATGTCTTGATTATCTGTACGAATATGTAATGAAAATGTGGATTATAGTCTTCCATTAACTACAACTTAATCCAAAAGTTTAGCTGCTTTATCTGCTGGTAAATGAGTTTCCACAGCTGTTTTAAATAAAAGCCAATTATCAGCAAATAAAGGTTGATATTTTGATTTTACTAAATAGCAATACAATTATTCAGGTGCTTCAATTTCCATTTAATCATTAACTTAATTGTCTTCTTCAGCAAAGATCTCTTATGGTACTTCTTTAAGTAATGGTTGAAAACTAGAACTCAAGACATCTACATCCAAACGTGAAGATTCTTCAGGATAAAAAATCAAGAGTACTTCTTCATGAAATGGTTTCTTTCTTTATTCACTTGTAAAAGGAATAACTTAGTTTTCAGTTTTACATTCATCTGCCCAAGTAAAATTAGATAATGAAAGTACTTCATTTAAAGGTTTAAGCATGTCTTCATAACGAGTATCTTCTAAAACCATATAAAAATGTGTAATTTCAGCCTATTTTTCAGGATCAAAGTCATGTAAATCACTCCATGTATTATTCCAGATATTGAGTTTTGCTTTTTATAAATGTTATCTTAATTAAGGATAATAACCACGAAAACAACCAAATCCCATTCTTACTGATAATTCTATAATTGGTTAACTTTGAGTAAAGAGTAAAGTTTGAATATCTTCACATTTCTTAGATCGAAATTATCCACAAGCAGTAATTACTTTACATCTTTTACATCCTCTTATAAACATACTAGATTCAACAGCTGCAAAAAACATTTGACAATCAAAACAATCATCAATTAAAATTTATGCTGAAAAGTCTGCTATGAATATCTTACAACGGACACAATTTCTTAATACAAAAGCTTCACCATCAACTTCACCAGGTTTTTTTACTAATATTTCATCTTATTTATCATAAAACCTATATTTAGAAGCATCCTTTTTTCTTAATTCCCATGATTTAGGTTTATTGTTGTTTTACATTTCAAAAAAAAAAAAAAGAATTTTATCAAAATAACAAAATTAATAAAATAAAAACATAAAATCATTAATTAGGAAGTGATTCTATTTCTTCTTGAAGTATATTTTAAACACATTTAGGATATTCATAATTTTTATAACCTCTAAAAAGAGGAGTGTATTCTTTCTATAATAATTTAAATTAATAAATTTAAATACCAAATATGCTAATATATTTTTGGCCATTTAGTCTTTTTTAATAGTGAATGATGGAATTATTAATTCTGGCATTATAGGCACATTCTCTCTATTATAAACTCTTAATCGATGTTCTTCAGGATCTAATTTACCATTTCCTTTTGTAATCTTATTCCTTGTTGTAATGTTCAAAATAGGAGGTTTCTTTTTTAATTTCTCTAATTAAAATGTATAATTTACAGCAAATAAAGCTGGATTCTATCTCTTTTCATACATTCTTTATAAAGTATGATCATAAATCTATTCTCTCTTTTTTACTGCTTCTGAGTATGAACATTTATTGTCATCTCGATTTATAATTTATTCTTATTATTTATTTTCTTAAACTATTGTTTCTATTTCCTCTTATTATGTCTCTTCATTCTAAATTTCAGCTACTTAAATTTGAGGATTTGTCATAAAATCTAAGGCTCTTTTCTAATCATCTTCATTTTCTAATAATCTTTCTTATTCCTATTATTCTCTCATCAATTTTTCTTATCTTTCTCTCTCCATTAATCTTCTATATGCCATAATCTTCTTATCTATTTATTTTATGGCTTCTGGAATTGGAGTAGGTTTAGGGACATACTATGAACCTTAAAATAAATATATTTACAGGTTGAACATATTATATTGATGGTTATGGTAGCATAATCATCTCTTAAGAAGTCTTAGGTTTGCGACTTGTTTAATAGATATTAAATAATACAAAAACCGTTATGCATTTCTCATCTGAGGTGGATGTGCTGGATCCTCTTTATCATTTAAAAATCTTGTTTTTTATCCTTAAGATTTAGCCTTATGTTCTACAAAATGTTTTTAAGGAATTTGCTTTTCTGTCATTTTTAATTAATATTTATTTATTATTTGATTAAATACAAAGTAATAAATTAATATAATCTTGAAATTCATTAAATGATATTAAATAGAATTATTAATGAATAATTAAATTGATAATGAATACCTATTTAAATATTAGATCAAATAAATTAAGATTATCAATATTTATTATTTGAATAGATTTATGATATTATGAATAATGATGCAATAAAAACCATAACAAATCAACTAAGTCTATAATTTATAATTTATTCGTTTTTCCCATAAACATTTTCCAAGTGATACGAAATCTTGATATCTAAATGTCTTGGATTCTATGCATTCTTTTTCACTGCAATACTACCTGAGATAATATCATTATTTTTCACAGCCAATGGTTCTTCAATATAAAATACAGTTTATTTCCAATGAGTACTTTCTGCATAAGGAGATGTTGTCAATCTTACAGGAACATGACAACTTGAAAATTAAACATCAAACCTTTTAATATATTAAAAAGTATTTACCATCCAACTAAAGCATGGACATAATCATCTTTTTAAATTTTCAACATATATTAATGACTAAAATCTAAATCCTCTACTTTAACAGTCTTTATATCAATTTCAAAAATAGGACAGGAATTAGAATTAATTTGTTCAGGATTACAACAATCTACTAAAGGTTCTCTAAGTGCCCATTATTTAATACAACTCATATTTACACCATATACATTATCCCTATTTAAATTATAATATATGATAATTACCAAAAATCAATTTTTGACTTTCTGTATTCATCATCTTCAATTGTAGATAGATACATAATAGCTTTGTCTGGGAACATATGACCATCAGGAGCTAAATATTTATCTCTTGCATAAAGAACACAGTCTAACATAGATTCATATAAAAGAAAATAACTAAATTTTAGTTTATTTAATATATACCCCATCCATTCAGAAATGATGATATCCACCTTTTCAACAGGTAATTCAATTTCTTCTATCTTTCCTTTTACAATAGTAATTTTTTCACTAAGTCCATTTTCACTTATAATCTTTTTTGCATGAATTGCAATGTTAGCATTCTCAACTGCATAAACATGCTTTGCTCCAGCTTAAGCAGCAAAAATTGAAAGAATGCCTGTTCCAGCTCCTACATCTAAAACTATTTTATTTTGAAAAAGTTGCTACACATTTAATATATGATATTTACTTTGTTCTTAATTATGGCATTTTAATAAGCTTTTGTTCTGATCTTATCTTTAAGCATTTCTTCATGAATACTAAAATGTGAATATGAATCAAAATAATAATCAGCATCCTTTATATAACCGTCTTAGTGATCTGTCTCACTTTTTTAGAAGCAGGATTCAAGATCAAATCCTTTTTCTGTTGATTTTTTAATTTTCATTGTCTTATTGTTGTTCATATTTTTATTTTTATATTATTGATCACTAATAAATAGGTTTAATTTTCATAAATTATACTTACAATTAATATTATTGTAAAATCATTATTTTGAATTTACCATGAAAAGTTAACTTAATAACCAAAGAATCATTTAAAATATAGAAACCATTTTACCTGTAGATTAATTCCAGTAATTTATATAATTTTTTATGTCTCATTTTAACATTTTAGTAATATCTGTTCATTAATTTTAGAAATACATATTATACAATAGAATAATTGATACTTGAAGTATAAATAATTATTATTCTTAATTATTAATATTAATATTACTATTATTATTAAATAAATATGCATTTTTTTATTGTAATTTCTACAATTACAACAATTTTAAAAAAGTAACTTACTTTACAAAATAACATTGAATTGATAATAAATATTTGCATTCTAAAATAAGATATGTTTAAAGTTTTGAAAAATTAAATATTTATGGATTATTATCATTAAATGAATATAATATTTTCTTTTTATTATAGTTTATTAAGATTTTTATTGATTAAATATTTTTTAATGAATTTTATCTTATTTAGTTTTATTAAATAATGATATAATAATACAATCTTCAATATTTTTAAACTAAAATTAATCTAGATACAAGACTAATTATCTTATGATTCCAACTGCTATTTTTAATAGTTGCTAAAGTTTTAAAAGTAATTAAATTGTGGAATTCTTTTTATAAAAAAATTATAATAAGTAGATAATGATTTGTATTAAATCAATTTAATGATTTCTTTTTAAGAAAGTTGTGCTTCATTCTTTATTCACACTTAAGTTATTTCGATATTCATTTTTTTGGAAATAAAATATTAANCCATTCAGAAATGATGATATCCACCTTTTCAACAGGTAATTCAATTTCTTCTATCTTTCCTTTTACAATAGTAATTTTTTCACTAAGTCCATTTTCACTTATAATCTTTTTTGCATGAATTGCAATGTTAGCATTCTCAACTGCATAAACATGCTTTGCTCCAGCTTAAGCAGCAAAAATTGAAAGAATGCCTGTTCCAGCTCCTACATCTAAAACTATTTTATTTTGAAAAAGTTGCTACACATTTAATATATGATATTTACTTTGTTCTTAATTATGGCATTTTAATAAGCTTTTGTTCTGATCTTATCTTTAAGCATTTCTTCATGAATACTAAAATGTGAATATGAATCAAAATAATAATCAGCATCCTTTATATAACCGTCTTAGTGATCTGTCTCACTTTTTTAGAAGCAGGATTCAAGATCAAATCCTTTTTCTGTTGATTTTTTAATTTTCATTGTCTTATTGTTGTTCATATTTTTATTTTTATATTATTGATCACTAATAAATAGGTTTAATTTTCATAAATTATACTTACAATTAATATTATTGTAAAATCATTATTTTGAATTTACCATGAAAAGTTAACTTAATAACCAAAGAATCATTTAAAATATAGAAACCATTTTACCTGTAGATTAATTCCAGTAATTTATATAATTTTTTATGTCTCATTTTAACATTTTAGTAATATCTGTTCATTAATTTTAGAAATACATATTATACAATAGAATAATTGATACTTGAAGTATAAATAATTATTATTCTTAATTATTAATATTAATATTACTATTATTATTAAATAAATATGCATTTTTTTATTGTAATTTCTACAATTACAACAATTTTAAAAAAGTAACTTACTTTACAAAATAACATTGAATTGATAATAAATATTTGCATTCTAAAATAAGATATGTTTAAAGTTTTGAAAAATTAAATATTTATGGATTATTATCATTAAATGAATATAATATTTTCTTTTTATTATAGTTTATTAAGATTTTTATTGATTAAATATTTTTTAATGAATTTTATCTTATTTAGTTTTATTAAATAATGATATAATAATACAATCTTCAATATTTTTAAACTAAAATTAATCTAGATACAAGACTAATTATCTTATGATTCCAACTGCTATTTTTAATAGTTGCTAAAGTTTTAAAAGTAATTAAATTGTGGAATTCTTTTTATAAAAAAATTATAATAAGTAGATAATGATTTGTATTAAATCAATTTAATGATTTCTTTTTAAGAAAGTTGTGCTTCATTCTTTATTCACACTTAAGTTATTTCGATATTCATTTTTTTGGAAATAAAATATTAACATTATTATTTCAGAGAGGAGTTTTGAAATAAATTTAATGAAGCTAATGTGAGATTAATTTATGATAATTTATTAATAATCATTAAACATATATTCAACAGATTTATCATTCTGATTGTTAGTTATTAATTTTAATTTTTTTTTGAAAGTATTTAAAAATGTAGATGAATTACTTTTGATAAATCAGTTAAAATTATATTGATCATAAAAAATTGATGATTAAAAAAACAAGAATAGAAAATCAGAATTCTTTAAATTTGAATTTAATTGAAAATAGTATAAATGAGTTTTAATTTATATTTTAAAAATTAACATAATACTAATATAAATTATATTAAAATACTTGTTAAAAAATGCAATTTTATTTAATTTTGATTAAAAATTATTATGCTAATATTTATTTTCATATTTAATAAAATGTATAAAAAAAGACAGTTGTTTCAATTTATTGGAGGTCTTTAAATTGAAAGGATTTCGTATTAAATTAAGCTCAGAATTTCTCCAATTAAATTAATTAATAGGATTCTAAAATATATGCTTTATTTTAATTACACATTTATTAATTTTGAAATGATTTATTCTCAGTAAACACAATAAGAATACAAAGAAATGGAATTACAAGTATTTGATACATCTGATCAGTCTTTAGCTCAACTACAATAAGTGAAAACTAGGTTAAACCAAGTATTTTATGGAGTTATTTTAGGAACGATAAGAATATATGCTTTTTATGCAAGAGTATATTGTAGATTGTCTAATTTATGGAAATCAGGAGATTGATGATGATGTACAAACTTTTTATAATATCAGTAGGTTGTTTAAAAGATAAAAAATATATGTTAAAAAATGATTTCAAAACCCTTATGGAATTATGAGGATTTGGTTGTAGAATTCGAACTATAACTAGAGATCTTGACACGTAAGCATATACATTCTATTTTGAATATTTTAGACGATTATATCGTATTGAATTAAGTCAAATTAATCATTTCCAGTTTTGATGCATATTACTAATACAAGTTTAATTAAATAAGTACACAGTATCTAGAGACATTGAAAAGTCTATGTTCTACTGAGATTAAGTAATTAAAGAGAATGAGTAATTATATTGAAGGTATTTATAAACAATAACCTAAGTACAAGAATTGATTCCTAACTAATCAGATAGAGTGGAAGAGATAAATGAACTGCTTACAACAATAATATAGTATAATCTTATTATTTAATGTTAGAGTACAAGATAATACACTTTCTATGGATTTCTGGAACTATTCTCTATACTAATTTATGAGCATAACATAACAAGATTTATAATATTAGGACAAAAAATAGGATGTCGATGTTATTTTGATTGATACATATGGGATCAATCAAGAAGTAGCAAGAATTCTATTTTAACTATTGTCTGATTATGAAGTTATTTTACCTCAACTCTTATCTGCAATTAACATAACAAAGGGCAATTTATAACATGTAAGAAATTCTAAATTATCTATTTAATAAGGCTTTGTCTAATCTATACGATTTGCAATTTAAAATGATAGACTAGTTGAATCCATTCATTTTGAAGGGGAAAGGAATAGTTTGTTATTAGAATGAAGGATTTTCAGGGAATGAATTTATATGTTTTTACTTTGGTGAAGTTTACACTCCTTAAAGGTGGTTTGAGAAATAAACAATATTTCACAAGAGAATGTAGGATGGGAATCGAAAGACATGTTCTTAAAGTCCTTATGCTGAATTCTTTATAAATGATGATCTATTGGTAATGTTTCAAAATTATTTTAAGTTTATTGACCCAACTAGATATGGGAATATGGCTTAACACATTTCATATTCATGTGATCCTAATTGTAGATTAATCACAGTGATTGTAAATTAGCAGAATTTATTGGCTGTTATCACATCTAGAAAAATAAATTATTTCGAAGAATTAACTTTGCCATTCCCTTAAACTTCTCTAGATCAATGTTTATGTGGATCAATACATTGCAAACGAAAATAGAATCTAGAAGTTGAAAATAGTCATCAGTTTAGCATTTATCCAAATTATATATAAAGAAATGTAATTTTACTGTAATCCACTCTAATGTCATGCCAAAATATATAAAATGATATACCTGAGTGGTTAACTAATTGGTAGAAGCTTAACTATTAATAGAATAACATTAACATTCTATCTTGTGTTGATAAAGTCAAATTTGCATTATAACATTTAAAGACGATATAACCGCCTATTTTTCTAGTAATGAATATTTTCAATTAATTCTGGAAGAATTATGAAATCAATACTCATAAGAGTCAATTGGATTCCTCAATAATGAATGAAATAGTTGTTTTCCTAAAGAGACATTAATAATTACATTAATGTTGTATAGGATTAGAAATAATAAAATAGATGAAGTAGATTATTGATTAAAATAATGACTATGCTATGTAACTAACAAGAATGTTATTTTTATTATTGAGTGAGATTATTTTGAATATAGAATCTTGTTCATTCAATAGTAAAGCATTTGCTACTATTCTATACTTTATGTCATTTACTCACACATACTTTTCATCAACCTAATATTAAGGATTTGATGGAAATCCCTTTTAAGAAAATGAATTCGAATACATTCCTTAACCAAAAAATAAATCTAAATTATCATTATCTAAACAATATACACCTTAATTCATTTGGGGTTAATTAATCAATTGGAATAAGTAAACACTCTAAAATCCTTAATCTTCTATGGCACAAGAGAGAAGAGGTGTTTTATGTTATCCATCATTGTTATTATCATTTGATAATAAACATAAGACATTTCCATATTAATGTAAGACTAGAGAGAAATATTTGGAATATTTTTAATTCAAAAAAGAGATTCAACCTGATCTATCAACCTGGTCATACAAAAATTAACATAAGTATTAATTTAAATCTTATTTTAGCATATATGGTACAATATTTTTTGAATAATACTTCTCATAACATAGAGTAGGAGAAGATTTCATTAATTAAATATGTAAATTAGGTATGTAAAAATTTGAAAAAAAATTTCAATATTGGTTGCATATCGAAAATTGTTTCGTTATGAATCAATAAATAATTGATGATTTATCAACTATCTTTTAAGAGTATTAATTTAAATTAATTTTCTTAGAAAATTTTAAACATTTTTTGATCAAAATCCTAAAAGCATTTCTTCTACAGATTATGATGATAATATAAAGAAAAAGGTTAAATTTAATTAAGATACAATAATTGCAGAAGAAACTCAATTTAGTACATATTGATTAAATAAATTTTTTAAATATGTAATCTCAACCTCATTATATTTCATTAATTTTGAATTTAATAATTTAGAATGTAATTTAAGAATATTTAATTACATTAATATAAAATTTATAGTTAATTATAATAACTGTTAAAGTTTCATTTCAATGGTTATCAATTTCTACCTTATTTTAGAATTTCTTTATTGTCATATGTGTTTATTTCTTCATATTTTTTACCCTTCTTAAACACATTAATCCCAATTTACATCATAAAGTAAGTCCAATATAAATGCATACCAAATAAAATACACATTTGTACAATTAGATACTTGTTTCCCCAAGTTGCTTCAGGACTTAATATTAATATTATAATTTACTAATTTTAGTAGTGCATTATTGCTTCTAAAATAATTTAAGGAAATATGATCACTCTTGTATAAATCCATGTAAACAAAAGCAATACATATTGTACATACATGAGAGATTTGATAGATTTTAAATCATGCTATGCTCTTGATAGAGATAAAATGATATCAGCAATATCGTGAATTCCCAATACAACAATTCCAAATCGAACTAAATGATAAATATGATATTCTAACATTGATTATAAAGGGCAGAGAAGATGAGTAGACAAGTTGCAAGTGTATGATGTAACATATATTCCCAATACTTGGTTTCGACTTCCTTTCTCTTTATAGCCAAGTGAATCAAGGCATATAAATGATTAGCTGTTTGGATCATATAAAAGGGTATAACCCATTTATTCTAAAATATTTTTTTGAACTGTTACATTTATCATATTTGGAAAGTCTTACCAAATACTTGTGTAATTGGTACCTCCCAATCCATTTGGATACCAAGGCTCTTCATGAAATAAATACCAACAGAGTATCTAAAAATAATCAATTTCATTATATACAGATGTTGTTGAATAGTATACTCCATCAAATAGCCATTTTAAAATTTTCTTAACTCTTACGTCTCTAAATTCTCCTTAATATTATTTAGATATTGTCCTATATACAAAATCATGGCAAAGATAATTCACAGCCCACTTCGAGTACTAAAAATTTAAATTTCTTATTACATGAACAATGATTAATCCCAATAACATGATGCTGAAATTTGAATAAGAAATCACAGGAACATCAGTCATTATCAAGTATGATCTAAAGCGTAATGCATCAAACACAAAAAAGGAGAGAATAGCTAATATTTATTGAATAGAATTACATGCTAATATTATGAATAAAAGTCTGAATGTCTCTTCATAGGAGAGATTTGATATTCTGAAATAATAGAAATTCGCCTTTTTAACAAGAGACTTGCCATTTGATTTCAAAATGGGATTCATTTTAAAAATGATATGTTTAATTAATAATATTATAGCTATAGCATTATATTTAATTTAAATCTCGGAAATTTTATATAAATTTAAATAAAATCACAAATTTTAATAAATATTTACTAAATAAATTACTTTTTATACATATAATTATTGAGAATTAATAATCAGAATTAATTGTATAGTTGAGTTCTTTCATAATTAAAGAAATTTTGTTCATCTTTTAAATCATTCTACTCCATTCTTTCTTTAGATTCACAAAGCTTAAGTTTTAATTTGTAAATATTGTAATTTTTCTTAAACTCATTAAAATGAGATTAATCTATCTTTACTCTATTTTACTTTCCATAATACTTCAACTATTTGCTGTAGAGATACATTTGAACATAAATCTCATTAATTTATGTCTTCTCAATATTATTCATAGAATTAGTCACCAACTCTATTATTTATGATTGATATTATATCATATCCTTAATTATTAAATTAAAACAAAAAGCAAGTTTTTAATTCCTCTAACCCTCTATAATTCTCAATCCCATACACTGAATGTTCTGAATTACATAACAATCTATAATAGGTACTCCACTATTCTATTACATACATACTTTTTTCAAGTAAATGTAATAAAGTTACAATATCTATTAATAGTTAAGTGGATCTCTTAATTGTTAAAACTCAATTTTTTTATCTGTAGCACTTTTCCTTTATTCTGGACTAGCCTTAAAGTAATTCTCCTGCATATAAGATTTAGGTGTGTTATCCCAATTAGGAGCCAAATTTACACTTCTTGAGACAGTCAAATTTAAATCTGTTTATAATCTTTCCATAATGGCGTTGCCTTCTTAAGAATTTGTAATGCTGAAAATATGACTATCGATAAATTCATCTTTTAATAAGGTTTATTCTTATATCATATAATGAAAGACACTGAGTAATTTGATCATATGTTCTGGGAATAATATTTATTCAAAGGGTTTTGATAATTCATAGAATACTTTTCTAATACCTAAGTATAATCATGAGTTCGATTACCAATATTCAATAGTTATTTACTAATATCTTTTAAATTTTCGCTATTTGAATTTACTATTTGCATCAGAACAGATTTTTTCATTAATATATAAAATTTATATGTAATTTAAAATCACAATAGTTTTTTACATTTCTTCCCTTTAAATCCTAAATCACATTTGCATTTACCATCAATCAATTTTCCTCTGTTATTACATAAAGAATAATCATTACAGAAATCTTTAAACACAGGACATTAAATTATTTAATCATTAAATGAAATTGTAGCAAAATCTGATTGACAATATTAAACTTATCCCTTGTATTTTACTCTAATACCCAAACTTGTACATTTACTCTTAAAACATTTAGCTTTATGTAACAAAGTAGAAGAGTCTTAATAATTAAAACATCTTTTCTTATTACAATCTTTTAAAGCAGTAACCAATCCACATTCAGCTAATTTTTATGAAGGTTTGCAAAATTGTATATGTTAATAATTGTAAGAACAAAATCTTTCATTTTTAGCCAATTTACAAATAGTAGGAGAATCACAACCTCCTTAAGCTGCCAAACAACCTTAATTCATTCCCCATTCATATCTACCTGCTTTATTCAAATTTGCTTAATATATTCCTGTATCTTATAAAACTAACATTGTAAATTTGCTATAAACAGTATCTCTACTTGCAGTTCCTGTCATTATTTCTTAATTAAATGTCATTTTTTCAAAATGGGAAAATTGTGCTGTTGGTCCTCCATCATCTTCTAAAGGCAAATATTGAAGAGATGAACAATTGAAATATTATTTTGCATATTCTATAATACCTGGACTTTTCAAATATAATTTATCTTAGATCATCTCTGTCATATTGAAATGATCAATTATTCTTCTATGAAATCCAAGAGTATGAGTAAATTCATGAACTATTGTTCCCAATCTTTCATATTTATCTAATTCATTTAGATTTTTTTGAAAATGATAATTATTTAATATTATTTATCCTGCTACAGGTCTATAGTTTTGATCATATAAACATGGAGATGATTTTGCAATCCAAGATTCTGCAATGTCTGTTTCTGTAACATATAATATAAAATCAGCATTTTTTATTCCTTTTTTTCTATGTTATTTTGGTACTTTAATATGATGACATTATTTGACATTTAAAACTATATTATTTTTAGAACGTTTCACTTTATATGTATCTTCAGTGAAGTGACTAGCTGATTTTATTAATTTCTTAAACAATTTGTGATTTGGATTATCTTTATCCAATTTTTTTGTATAGACCTTTATTCTAATTGGATCAAATTCTTGATTGTAATCCATAATCTATATAAATGAATAATCAGATCCTTAACAATCAATCATCCATATAAGAATTAAAATAAGTATTTTCATTAATAAATTTAGTATTGTTTCTAACTGAATAAAGTATTTTATTATTTATTATAAGTTCCATATATAAATATACAATAAAAAGATTTGATTTATAATAATATTATTATGGAAGGATATCTTAAGAAGTGGATTAATATAGTATCTAGATGGCAGGATAGATACTTCATTTTGAATGATCATATTCTCCATTATTGTGAACATCAAGGAGGTTAATCTAAAGGTTAGATCCATTTGAAAGTGGCTGCAATCATACTAGTCCCTGAAGATCCACTGAAAATCATCATAAATACAGGGACAAATCAAATATAAGTGAAAGCTTCAAGTGTACCAGAAAAAATAGAATGGGTAAATGCTTTAAAAAGAGCCTAAGAAAGTTGTTTAGAAACCATACCTAGAGATTGTATTAAAGAAGTAAATGATATTCTAACAGATATTTGGGTTACCCAAGCAGCATGTACAATTATTCTTTCTATTATAAGTTGATGAAACATTAAATGTACTTGTACCTAAATTAGAAAGACAACCAAAATATGTAGAATTAGCTGAAAAATTAAGTGAGTTAGGATAAAAGATTAAGATGAATGTCACCATTTGTACATAATTATTAGAAGTGGAAAAAGAGAAGTTAGAATGTTAATAGTCTGGTATTTTTTTGAAATAATATTTTAAGGAGATAATTAAACTTTGTTTTAATCATTTAGGAATATCACTAGCAGAATCGATGATTTCAATCGATAAAGCTCAACCATTAGTTCAAGTAGTTCTTTATCAATATAAGACATTTTAGAGTCACTTAAATATGAATAACCAATAAAATATGTAATTATATTTATTGAAATTAGAAAAATCTCATCAACAATCCTGTTTTCTAAAAAATTTAATTCACAAATTAATAATTTAGAATTGCATTACCTAGAACTTAAGATCCAAATGAAAAGTTGAAAGTTTGGAGTTTTATTAAAGATATGATAGGTAAGGATCTTTCGAAATTTGCTGTTCCTGTATATTTTAATGAACCTTTGTCTATGTTATAAAGATTGGCTGAGAATTTAGAATATTATTAAACATTAATTGAAGCTAATTAAGAATAAGATTAATGGCTTAGAATGTGTTATGTAATGGGATTTGGAGTTAGTGCTTATTCAAGTAATATAGATAGACATAAAAAACCATTTAATCCTATTTTAGGTGAGACATTTGAAATATAAAATAAATAATTTAGATTTATAAGTGAATAAGTATCTCATCATCCTCCTATTTCTGCTGGTTATGCAGAATCTAATGATTTTGAAATGTAAATGTAAACTGATATAAAAACTAAAATGTCTCCTAGATCTATGGAAGTATAACCAATAGGAAATGTTTATATTAAACTAAAATAATTTAATGATCAGATATCCTATAATAAATGTACTACAAAAGTTCATAATATCATATTTGGAAATATGTATATTGAACATATTGGTGATATGATTTTTAATAATTATGCTACTAATGATAAAGGAGTTCTANAAGGTTAGATCCATTTGAAAGTGGCTGCAATCATACTAGTCCCTGAAGATCCACTGAAAATCATCATAAATACAGGGACAAATCAAATATAAGTGAAAGCTTCAAGTGTACCAGAAAAAATAGAATGGGTAAATGCTTTAAAAAGAGCCTAAGAAAGTTGTTTAGAAACCATACCTAGAGATTGTATTAAAGAAGTAAATGATATTCTAACAGATATTTGGGTTACCCAAGCAGCATGTACAATTATTCTTTCTATTATAAGTTGATGAAACATTAAATGTACTTGTACCTAAATTAGAAAGACAACCAAAATATGTAGAATTAGCTGAAAAATTAAGTGAGTTAGGATAAAAGATTAAGATGAATGTCACCATTTGTACATAATTATTAGAAGTGGAAAAAGAGAAGTTAGAATGTTAATAGTCTGGTATTTTTTTGAAATAATATTTTAAGGAGATAATTAAACTTTGTTTTAATCATTTAGGAATATCACTAGCAGAATCGATGATTTCAATCGATAAAGCTCAACCATTAGTTCAAGTAGTTCTTTATCAATATAAGACATTTTAGAGTCACTTAAATATGAATAACCAATAAAATATGTAATTATATTTATTGAAATTAGAAAAATCTCATCAACAATCCTGTTTTCTAAAAAATTTAATTCACAAATTAATAATTTAGAATTGCATTACCTAGAACTTAAGATCCAAATGAAAAGTTGAAAGTTTGGAGTTTTATTAAAGATATGATAGGTAAGGATCTTTCGAAATTTGCTGTTCCTGTATATTTTAATGAACCTTTGTCTATGTTATAAAGATTGGCTGAGAATTTAGAATATTATTAAACATTAATTGAAGCTAATTAAGAATAAGATTAATGGCTTAGAATGTGTTATGTAATGGGATTTGGAGTTAGTGCTTATTCAAGTAATATAGATAGACATAAAAAACCATTTAATCCTATTTTAGGTGAGACATTTGAAATATAAAATAAATAATTTAGATTTATAAGTGAATAAGTATCTCATCATCCTCCTATTTCTGCTGGTTATGCAGAATCTAATGATTTTGAAATGTAAATGTAAACTGATATAAAAACTAAAATGTCTCCTAGATCTATGGAAGTATAACCAATAGGAAATGTTTATATTAAACTAAAATAATTTAATGATCAGATATCCTATAATAAATGTACTACAAAAGTTCATAATATCATATTTGGAAATATGTATATTGAACATATTGGTGATATGATTTTTAATAATTATGCTACTAATGATAAAGGAGTTCTAACTCTATCTGAAAATCATAAAATGGTTGGAACTGTTTATGATAGTAATGGTTAAGAAAAGTATAAGTTGAAAGGTTTATGGAATGATTCTTTGATTGCTCGTAATGTTTAAACTGGAAAAGAAACTGTGGTTTGGAAAAGGTATGATTTACCTTAAGATTATCAAAATTACTTCTTTTTTACTAAGTTTGCTCTTAATTTAAATCTACTTAATATAGATTTAATTAAATAGCTCCCTTGTACAGATTGTAGATTAAGACCAGATTAATTAGCTTTAGAATATGGTTTCATTGATTTAGCTGCTGATGAAAAACATCGTCTTGAATAGAAATAAAGATAAAGAAGAAAGGAAATGCAAATTGCAGGTTAAAAACATTCACCTTAATTTTTTGAATTGATTAAAGAACCATGCACAAATGATATGATTTATAAATACAAAGGGAATTATTGGAGAAGAAAGGGAGAAGGATTAGACTTATTTTGATTACTTATATATATATATATAAGATATCAATTAAATAACTAAATCTTTTATATGAGTTTATCCAATTAATTATCTTAATTGAATTCCTTAATTAATTAATAGAAATGTTCATTCTTAGGATTTATGGTATGAACTATATATTGTAGAATTCAAATTATTTACTTCTTAATTTATCTTCAAGTTTGATTTAAATATGAACATTTTAATTGTGTTCCAATTAGATATCAAGAATCTTTTAATGATAATCATATTCCAAGTACACTCCAGTAATTTGTTATAATTATATTATCAATTTTTCCTTCATTTCTCTTTCCTCTTTTAGTTAATTGATATCATTTTAACATTCTAATAAATAGTTATAAATATTAAATACTAATGAGTTTCTCTTATAATTTTATGTAATTTGAATTCTCATTACAAGATTATTCAATAAGAGACTCAATCTTTTAGTTTTATTCTTATTGATATGAAATAAGTTAATTAATTTAGACTTAAATATTCTCTTTATTTCCTTTAGATTTTAACTTTTATTACTATTCCTCAACTACTTTTTTGTATTAATCAATTTATTTTTATTGTTACATTTGAATCTCTTTTTGTTATAGGATTTTATCATTATACATTTTCTTTTTTTAATCTAATAAAGCTTACAAGATTTTCTTAGATTTTTCAATCTCATTTTGAACTGAATTTTAATACTCAAAAAACTAGAGAATTTAAATTTAAGACTTTTATTCAATATTATTATTCATAATATTAATTATTAATCATAATATTATTTTTGATATCTAAATTTAATACTTGTTTGATTACCACTCAATTTATAATGCTAAAAACTCTAATTATTGATATAATCTTTTTATTTTATACACATCATTTAATTTAATTGTATAATTATAAGTATAAATAATTAAAATATTATCATTCTTCAACTTATTATTATACTTTTATATACATTTCTAATCTACTTTATCTAATCAATAAATAAATAATGAATATGGATATTATGAATAATAAAATTATTATAACACTATTTGTTTTAAATAACCAAGTGGCTATCTTTATTTAAGTTTTTGGAGTCTAAAACATAATATTATAAATACTATCCAACATTCATCTTCATAATCATTTACATTTTAGAATTAAATAATTGAATTAAATTCTTCATAATCACATTTGTATTTATTATTACAAATTGGCATTAAAGTACCATTATATAAAATTTAAACATAATACTAATTCTCCTAATCTTATTTTCTATATAATTCGAATATAATATTGCTAGCATAACCAGGATATGTATATATACAATTCTTATTCTCTATCTCCTCTTTTAAATACACTTATTTTAAACATTCAACTGTTGTTAAATTAAGACCATTTAAGATTAATTGAACACTAGCATCATTAGCAGAAAATATTCTAAACTTAATTTCTGTTTGATTATTAATAACATCCTACATATTAAATAATATATTTCTAAAAAATGGTGTAGCTAAAAGACGAGTTTATCTAAAATTAATGTATCAATCAAATACTCAAAATCTATATTATGTTCTAGTGAGAAATACAAATTTTGTAGAAGTTTCATCTATTATTTAGTACTCTCCTTTAGTTACGGTAAATCATATCTATTAAATTCACATGAATCGAAAGTGTCCTAATATTTGTATAAATCTGTAATGTTCTATATGTTAATCAAATATACTAAATGAGATGCATTAATTCCTAATTATTTTGCGAAATCTAATATTAAGGATTAAGTCCTATCATTAATTTCATAGTATAATTTAGACTTGACATTTTTATTTATTATTTCTTCATTCCTTGGACAAGCCAAAACATCATATCCTCTCAGATATATATCTGCCTATCTTTATATCACATGTACTGGAACTACTTATAATAATCCTGGAATAGCTTCAATTCCTAAATCTTCAAATATTAACTAATTTGGAGGAAGTAAATAAGAGTGATTTAAATTTGGATTTAGTTTTGGACCTGTTCCTATTGGATATATGCCTTAAAAATTGCTCAATGCACTCATTATTGTTTTATTTACATCTGTACTTTGTATATAGATTTCTGCTTCATTGTAAGACTAACTCAAGAGTTTCAAATCCTCTATGTATCTCTTTCTTAACCATTATCCTAAAACATAATGTTATCTCATTCCTATTGGTGTCAAATAATCATTTAATAATCCCTATTATTCAAATTCTTTGCATTTCCAATTACAATGAAGTGGAGTACTAGCACCATTTCTCCATAAAATTTACGATAATACTATTTAATCACCAAATGCTTAAGACATAAGAATAAGAATGAATTACATGCTTAATGAATATTAAATAATAAATTATATCTAATACTATTACTTAATATCAATTATACTTTTCAATATTGATATTATCAATGATATATTATTAGTTTCTTAAGTAATAAAAGTTATTTTAAAACAANACAAATTGGCATTAAAGTACCATTATATAAAATTTAAACATAATACTAATTCTCCTAATCTTATTTTCTATATAATTCGAATATAATATTGCTAGCATAACCAGGATATGTATATATACAATTCTTATTCTCTATCTCCTCTTTTAAATACACTTATTTTAAACATTCAACTGTTGTTAAATTAAGACCATTTAAGATTAATTGAACACTAGCATCATTAGCAGAAAATATTCTAAACTTAATTTCTGTTTGATTATTAATAACATCCTACATATTAAATAATATATTTCTAAAAAATGGTGTAGCTAAAAGACGAGTTTATCTAAAATTAATGTATCAATCAAATACTCAAAATCTATATTATGTTCTAGTGAGAAATACAAATTTTGTAGAAGTTTCATCTATTATTTAGTACTCTCCTTTAGTTACGGTAAATCATATCTATTAAATTCACATGAATCGAAAGTGTCCTAATATTTGTATAAATCTGTAATGTTCTATATGTTAATCAAATATACTAAATGAGATGCATTAATTCCTAATTATTTTGCGAAATCTAATATTAAGGATTAAGTCCTATCATTAATTTCATAGTATAATTTAGACTTGACATTTTTATTTATTATTTCTTCATTCCTTGGACAAGCCAAAACATCATATCCTCTCAGATATATATCTGCCTATCTTTATATCACATGTACTGGAACTACTTATAATAATCCTGGAATAGCTTCAATTCCTAAATCTTCAAATATTAACTAATTTGGAGGAAGTAAATAAGAGTGATTTAAATTTGGATTTAGTTTTGGACCTGTTCCTATTGGATATATGCCTTAAAAATTGCTCAATGCACTCATTATTGTTTTATTTACATCTGTACTTTGTATATAGATTTCTGCTTCATTGTAAGACTAACTCAAGAGTTTCAAATCCTCTATGTATCTCTTTCTTAACCATTATCCTAAAACATAATGTTATCTCATTCCTATTGGTGTCAAATAATCATTTAATAATCCCTATTATTCAAATTCTTTGCATTTCCAATTACAATGAAGTGGAGTACTAGCACCATTTCTCCATAAAATTTACGATAATACTATTTAATCACCAAATGCTTAAGACATAAGAATAAGAATGAATTACATGCTTAATGAATATTAAATAATAAATTATATCTAATACTATTACTTAATATCAATTATACTTTTCAATATTGATATTATCAATGATATATTATTAGTTTCTTAAGTAATAAAAGTTATTTTAAAACAATTAAAATAACTGATAGATTGTAATCATATTATTTTTTAATGTATAGTTATAATTTAAAATCGAAAAAATTCAAATAAGATTATTTTAATCCTGTCAATACTAATTTGAAATTGACTTTATTGCATTATATTTTACACTTAATTAATTTCAGAAAATTAGATAAAAGTAATATAACAATCTTTTGAAATTAGAATTAAATATTAAATGAAAACAATTTATCATCTTATGTTGATAATATTGAAATTAAAAATTTAGTTTATTGTTGGGTCTTAAAAAATTCTAATAAAATTCAATCATAATTTATTTCTTGAAAATTACTGGACTAATATAAATTACTTTTAAAAAATTATATATATATATGTATATAATTACAATTAATCATAAATATATATATAGAAGATTCAATAATTTTTATATCAAGATGCTTCAATATCAGATAAAAAAATTTGATTCAATTTTATCATTGATAATTAATTAAAAAGTAGTAAAATATATATTAAATTCTTTTATTTACATAAAATTAAATTAATAAAATGGTAGAATAAATATTATAGGAGTTATTCTATCAATATGGATCAGTTTTGATCTTTAATTTTTCATATTGAACCCCAACAAATTCTGTTAGAGATTCCATTTGATCTTTTATTTTTTTTTTATCTATTTTATTTACTTTATCTAAGTAATCTGCTGAATCTAATAAATATTAATTCATGCTCTTAAAGGATTGTACCAAGGAAGGAGGTTACCTTAATTTAAAGGACTTCTTCCATTATTAATAAAACTCTCCTTATAAAACGAACTTTTAGATGTTTTCTTTTTATTTCAAATCATTTATAGTAACATTTTAAAATATATCTGGTAATTTCATTTATTAAAGTTCTCTTAAAGTTTATTATTTAACCAATTATTGATCACTTTTTAGTTGTTAATTAAGTAATTTCATTGTTTCTTTTTTTCGTTTTATTTGATTACTAACAGCAATTTTTGGTAGTAGTTGGTATCCATGAACAATTTACTGTTCAGATTTATGCTTTATGATAATTGGTGCTTTTTTTAAGGTTACATCTTAATGATTATTATATTTATCGAGATTTTACACTATTAATTGATTAAATGAATCTTCATAGCATGTCTCTTTCTTAAGTTCTAAGTATACAGAATCAAAATTAATTTTTTGCTTTCTAGCTGTAATTAATTCTTTGGCTTTATCGAGAATTGAAGAAGATTAAAATGGTAGCAAATCCTATTATGGTGGAGATTCTTCT